CAAACTGCCAGGGAGGAGCTGTGCCCCCCAGAACACGTCTGCCCCCCCGGCGCATGTCCCCCAGCTGAGAACTGCCAGAGACGGGCACACGCAGACCTCGCTCTGAGCTGGGCAGCGGCAGGGGGCTGCAGGAGCAGGTGAGCTCTGCAAAGGGAGACGGCCAAGTTGGGCTCTGCATGGCTGACACCTGGTGCCTGCGTCAAACTGCCAGGGAGGAGCTGTGCCCCCCAGAACACGTCTGCCCCCCCGGCGCATGTCCCCCAGCTGAGAACTGCCAGAGACGGGCACACGCAGACCTCGCTCTGAGCTGGGCAGCGGCAGGGGGCTGCAGGAGCAGGTGAGCTCTGCAAAGGGAGACGGCCAAGTTGGGCTCTGCATGGCTGACACCTGGTGCCTGCGTCTGAGGCAGCCCCAGGGGAGAGTCGCATCTCCCCACGGACACTCCCAGCTTCCCCTGCCTACTGACCTCCTGGGGAGGGAGGGAGAAGGGGTCCCGGGAGCCCTGCCCTCTCTGTGCTGTGGGGCGGCAGCGCGTCCGGCTCTCCTGGCTGGCCCAAGGTCACAGCATCTATCGAGGGGGTGAGTAATGACTTCCCATTAATATTAATCCTTCCGCTCTCGAGGACAATGAGAAATCAATAGGGCATCTCAGTGCGGTGAGCAGGAAATGGGAGCAGCTGGAGAGGAGCAGCAGCAGATTTCTCATTGAGCCTGGCCTCCGACAGACCTTCCCCCCGTGCAGCCCAGCGCCGGAGCTCTGCTCACACAGCACCATGCACCACCCCGCGGGAGGGCGGGCTCAGGGGATGAACAGGGCGCAAGGTCAGCTCAGCAGAGGAAAAGCCTCGTGGTCCTGCTCGAGCGCAGTCAGGTGCCGGGGGATGCCTGGCGGAATGGCATGGCAAAGCGCCTTTGGGGGTGACGCTCACAGTGCGGGAGCAGCCAATCCCCCCCGGATGGCCCCGGCGGGGGGCCCAGTCACAGACCCACGGGTGAGTCCAGACACCCAGCACCAACCCGCGCCAAAGTGCCACAGCCCCCAGAGCCTGCACTGGTCCAAGCCGCAGGAGGGATGAGGAGCACCAGGGCCTGAGGTTCCCCCCAAGGCAGGGAAACGATCTGCGAGGTGCTGACGCCTCCAATCCCACTGGCGAGCCTGGCGCTAGAGGGCACTGGGCGCCCTGCAGGACTGAGCCCAGCTCTCCTCTGTCTGCCGCGGGCCCCTTCCCTGGGCATGGCAGGTACCTGGAGGCACCTGGGCAGCAGCACTGGTGGCCAGTGGGACCTTTGGGGAAGGGCTGGACGCAAGGGAAGGTGCCCAAGGATCAGCTCAGGATGGCCACTGGCCTTAGTGGCTCACGATCCGGGCCCCACGTCTGCCCCTGGGAGTCAGAGGGTGCTCAGCTCGCTGGGCTCAGCTCCCCCAGGGTATGTCTACACTATCACCCTAGTTCGAACTAGGGTGGTAATGTAGTCAAACGAAGTTGCAAATGAAGCCCGGGGTTTGGTTTGCATGTTGCCGGGAGCCGCCATTTTTAAATGTCCGCTAGTTCGGACTCCGTGCCCCACGGCTACACGCGGCACGAACTAGGTAGTTCGGACTAGGCTTCCTATTCCAAACTACCATTACTCCTCGTTCCGCGCACGGTCCCGGCAGGGCGCACGAGCGAGTCCAGCCCCGGGGATTCCATCCCGCCCTGCCCCCAGCTCCCTCCTCTCTACTGAGTACTTGCGCATTGCCTGGCTGGTAGACACACGCACGCAGAGTGACTCACGCAGTGTGAGCGCATCTACCAGCCAGGCAGTGCGCAACTACGTCCTGATACTCATAATAATGAAACGTACCCAATCAGAAAATACCTGACAATTCTATGTCCGGTATTTCCTCAATTTCTTTCCCAGACAGAAAGCTGAAATGCCGGACTGTCCAGTTCAAACTGGACACCTGGCAACCCTCCGGACATGGGCGCAGGAAGGGCCAGTCCAGCGAGGGGTCGCCCGAAGCACCGCAAGGGCCTGGTGCACGAGGGCCGCCAGCCCTGCAGGAACGCAAACAACACGGGCCGAGAAGTCTCCCGTCTGGGGGCTGCTTCTCCAACCTCTCTGCTTCTAATGGGCGCCAGCCGGGCCACGTGCCAGGAGGACCCAGAGATGTTGAGCCGGGGAGCTGAAAGTCACAAAGCAGCCTGCCTTGCCTCGCCCTCTGCGCAAGCTACACAACCAGCCTCTCCTGCTTCTTGCGTCTCCTCTGGCTGGAACCCCTGCATCTCCTCCCAGTGTCTCCCCGAACTCACTTCATGTTGCTGTGCCCGTTTGAATGATCATCTCCCTCCATTTCTAGAGCAGGAAACTGAGGCACGGAGATGGAAAATGACTTGTCTAGTGACACGCTGCAAATCAGCACCCCAGTCAGGACTAGAGCTCACATCTCCAAGCCCGTAGCCCCCTGACCACTAAGCCACCTGCCTCCCAGGTTGGAGGTACCGTGGCTCTGCTGGCCCCATAGCTCCTTGCCCAGAAGTGCCTGAACTCTGCTAGGTGCCTGTGTCCATAGCTAGAAGCAACCAGACTCCTCCCCTCCGGCATCTGAACCCCCCGCCCACAATTGCTTCTCTTCCTTCGTTGTTACTATGCAGAGCCTGGCTGCCGTAGACGACGTTAGAACTCCTGCCCCTTTGTATCTGCTGGAACAAACTTGCTCCACGCCGCGAGACTCACCGCCCTGACGCTGACGCGTGGCTCGGGGGGCGACGGCCTGGGGCGTGGCTCGGGGGGCGACGTCCTGGGCCTCCGTGTCCCCCAGTGCTCTGGCAGCTACGCGGCCTGCTCGGCTCCTGTGCGCATCGAGCTGGGTGGCACAGGGTGGCTCCCTGTGCTGGAGTCTTTCAAGCAAGGCCCCTGAAAACCAGCGGCCTCGCCGGGATCCCAGGGGCCTTGGAACCAGAGCCCAGAGGGAAAACGCGGGTGAAACGCGCAGCTGTCCTGGAGGCGCCAGTGTCCCTTGGAACGCGAGTCCAGCTCCGTCTTCCGCGGCTGACACGCTGCTTCCCTCCTGGGAGCCAGGGGGTTCCTTGGCGGGACCGGACAGACAGCGGGGTGACCCTCAGCGCTACTCACTCTGCACAGACCGGGCTGCTTCAAGCACTGACCCGCCTGCCCCCCTGGGCAGCACAGCGGGGCGCTTACCTTCTCCTGGTACTGGCGCCGTGAGGAGTCCAGCGACTGGATGAGGGCCGTGGCGTGGCCGATGAACATGGCGTAGCAGGTGGCGCCCACGATCATGCTGAGCATGGTGAGCCAGACGTCTGACATGCCAACGGGCGCCTGCTGCCCGTAGCCGATGCACAGCATGTGACTCATGGCCTTGAACAGCGCGTAGGAGTACTGCTTGCCCCAGGAGTCATTCTAGGGACAGACAGACAGACAGGCAGACAGGCTTTAGCAGCATCCCGGGACACAGTCCCTGGGACAGACATTTTTCAACTCCAATGCCTAAGCTTGGGCTGCTAAGTCCACATCTATGGTACCTGATTAATGCCCCAAAGGCCGCGCACCAAGCAGTCCCAACGACTCCCCTGGGAACAGCGGGGCACTCGGTATATTGGGGGAAGTTCGATTTCCTACTGTGATGCCAAACTCCGCACTAGACCCTAAATTTAGGCACCACATTCGAGAACTCTGACTCAGATTTACACACGTTGCGTGTACCCCCTCCAGCGACCCTCCCGCCCTGGGAACCCGGAGAGATTCGGACTTACACACGTTGCGTGTACCCCCTCCAGCGACCCTCCCGCCCTGGGAACCCGGAGAGATTCGGACTTACACACGTTGCGTGTACCCCCTCCAGCGACCCTCCCGCCCTGGGAACCCGGAGAGATTCGGACTTACACACGTTGCGTGTACCCCCTCCAGCGACCCTCCCGCCCTGGGAACCCGGAGAGATTCGGACTTACACACGTTGCGTGTACCCCCTCCAGCGACCCTCCCGCCCTGGGAACCCGGAGAGACTCGGACTTAGACACGTTGCATGTACCCCCTCCAGCGACCCTCCCACCCTGAGAACCCGGAGAGACTCGGACTTACACACGTTGCATGTACCCCCTCCAGCGACCCTCCCACCCTGAGAACCCGGAGAGACTCGGACTTACACACGTTGCATGTACCCCCTCCAGCGACCCTCCCACCCTGAGAACCCGGAGAGACTCGGACTTACACACGTTGCATGTACCCCCTCCAGCGACCCTCCCACCCTGAGAACCCGGAGAGACTCGGACTTAGACACGTTGCGTGTACCCCCTCCAGCGACCCTCCCGCCCTGGGAACCCGGAGAGACTCGGACTTACACACGTTGCGTGTACCCCCTCCAGCGACCCTCCCCCACCGGGAACCCGGAGAGACTCGGACTTACACACGTTGCGTGTCCCCCCCCCAGCGACCCTCCCGCATGGGAAGCCTGCAGAGCCTAACATGCTGCTAGCCTGGGATGAGCTCAGGCAGCGTGCCTGGGCGAAAGTCCCTCCAGGCTGCTCAGCATGTTTGCAGCCTCCACCCAGTTCCTAGCGGACAGGTACCCTCAGCACCTGTCACTCCGCTCCCCTTTGCAGCTGCTGCTCAGTGCTGCCCAGGAGGCAGGAGGCACATGGGCAGAAAGGCAGAGGCAGCAGGACGCTGGGAGCTGGGCTCCATTCCTGGCTCTCCCAGTCATGCTGGGTGACTGGGTTGTCACTTCCCCGCGCTGCACCTGCTGCTTTACCTAAACCGTAGGCTCGTGAGGCCGGGGCTGGCTTTGCCCAGCACTCAGCACAACGGGCCCGGGCTCAGTTCACCACCACAAGAGATGCAGAGAAGGGGCCCCAGGGGACCGCTTGGGCTGTGCCCGTCGGGCTGGTCCATAGAGCGCTCAGCCCGGCACCAGTCACTAGCAGGGAGAAGCACTAAACCAGCCCCCACAGGTGGCTTCCAACGCCCGGGCCCTTCACAGCTCTGCAGAGCAGGCAGGAGCCACGGGCTGGGCTTTTGTCATTCCAAGGCCTTTCTGCGCCAGTGCCTGGTTCGGAAGGCGCGACTGGCTGGGGACCCGGGGCTCTTGGGAAAGGCTGAAGGGCACCAGGAGCTCCTCAGGCACTTAGCGCATGTTCCGTGTCTCCCCACGAGCACTGCAGGCCCCCGCACAGCCCGGCTACTGCTCCTGCCCTCAGGGTCCCGTGCTGCCTGGCCCGGACACAATCCGCACTGCACCCCGCAGGGCAGGGAGGAGAGCAGTGCAATGGCACCATCGTAAACCCAGGCAAACAGGCTGGGGGAGGCCGAGTGACTTGCTCACCCGCCCAGCAGGGCTTGGTGTGAGGAGCAAGGAGCCTGCGCCCTGAAGCCAGCCTGCCCTGACGGGGCGGCTCTGGTCGAGCTGTTGCTCCCGCTCAGCCCCACAGAGGCCCAAGGATGGGCTCCCAAGCTTTGTGCCATTTTTGCAATGCCTCCTCCTTGCTGTGTCCTGCCGGCAGGGGGCACCGGGCTCCTGCCTTTTCCTGAATGTGGTCAGCGGAGGATGGGTCAGCCGGGGCTGTCTGACCTCCGCAGGGCACATCCCACCTGCCTCCCCCTCGCGGTCGGGTGGCTGCTGGGGAGAGGCGCGGAGGGCTGGCGGAGCGCTCACCACCATGCGGTTGAGGGAGACCCAGCAGTCCTCGGGGAAGTCCTGCAGCATGGGCACCAGGAACTGCAGGCAGCCGTCCCAGTGACACAGCAGCAGCATCATGCCGATGAGGTTGACGATCCGCACCACGGCGCTGGCCAGGTCATAGGTCATGTGGAAGATCTGCAGGGCAGGAGAGAGACGAGTCAGACCCAGCGCCCCAGCACGAAGGCAGCCCCAGGCCAGGCCGGCCAGCTCCCCCCAGGCAGAGCCTGGTTCACTGCCAGACAGTCACACTGGTCACAAAGTGGGTAACCCAGCACCAGCTCTCCCCCTCCCCCCATTTTTCATCCACTTGGGGTTTAACTATTTCAGGCTTCTCTGCGAAACAGGCGGGGTGAGAGCAACACTGCGGGGCCAGCTGCTCCTCAGCAGGCCACTGCCCTTCAGCGAGCGGGCCCCGTTGGCCCCCGCAGCGGAAACAGACAGGAAGGCTCTGGCAAGGGCTTGCTCTGGGCTGTATGGTGGACGCCCGGCCCAGCCTTCTCTCCTTGCACCAGCCGGCATGCTCCAGTGAACAATCCCACCCAACCTGTCTCCTGCCCCAGCCCCTCCCCGCCAGCTCCCTGCCCGGGGCCTTCCAAGGAGGAGGACAGGCTGGCGGGGAGAAGAGGCTGGCGCCGTCGGGCTAGACTGTGCCCATCTTCCCTGGCTTGTCTCTTGCTCTTTGTATCGCCACGTAGAGCCATGGGCCCGGCAGCCCTGAACCAGGCAGTTGCAGCTGGCTCCCTGCAGCCCCCGCTCCAGTACAGGGAGGGGCAGCGCAGTCCGACGTGCGCCCAGCAGCGCCCAGCCCGGAGGGGATACGTTTCTCTACTGGCTGGGGAGAGAGACAGGGCTTCCTCTGTGCCCTGCACACACTCCTGCACAAGGGGACCGAGACGAGGCCCGTAAGCGACATGGGACGCCTGGTGCACAGAGGGTCCAGGGCTCCTGGCCTCTGCAGCTCGGGGAGCTATGGACCCCGCCAAGCACAGGCCGCCGGGCCCCAGGGAAGGCACGCTCACGCTGCAGTCAGTCTGTGGCTTTGGGGGGCAGCTGCCAGGGAGGCTCGGGCTGGCCGATGCCTGTGACGCAGAGGCAGAGGCAGAGGGCGGCTCTGGGCCAGACACAGGTGGCACGACAGAGGCACGAATTCGGCCCAGCTGCCCTGCTCTGGAGGTGCAGCGCTGTGGCGCGCAGAGCGAAGCCAGCCAGTCACCTGGCGCGCTGCGGCAGGATTCGCGGGGCGCCTGAGGGGCCTCCCCCTTCGCCTGTGGGCCAGCACCCCAGCACGGGTCCCTGGGCCCTGAGGGGTTGCCATGGCGATTTGGGGCCTAGCCCTGCCTGCGGAAGGTAGGCCGGTGCCGTGGCCAGGGGATCCCCAGCACGGCTCCCCGCATGCGGCTGTGGCTGGGGAGGGATGATGCCTGTGAGGGACGGATGGACAGTCTTTGCCATCAGCTCTCTCCCCTCCCCGGCTGGGGTCCAGGCTCTGTCGCACACGCGCCCACAAGCTGTTCTCACAACTCTCCATGGTTTTCATTGAGCTCGCTGAGGGGCTGCAGGGCCCTGGGGGGTCAGGCCGCGCAGCAGGGCTTGGACCACACACAGGAGACATGCGTGTCCCTGGTGACCCCGGCCCCTGCATGCACCTCACGGCTCGGCCCACGCACCCTGCGTCTGGACGTAGCTCCCCACACAACGCGGCCAGAGCAGCTCAGCCCTAGTCCAGAGCCCCCACTCTTCCCGTGCCAAGTCCCCCTCCCCAGCCCCATTCCTGACCCACGTGACCCCGCGGACCCATCTAGCCCACTGTGACTGGCACCCTGCTCCTCCGCCCTGGGCTCCCGCCCAGCTCTGCTGCTGACCACCCGCAAAGTCCCCCTCCCCAGCACGATTCCTGACCCACGTGACCCCGCGGGCCCATCTAGCCCACTGTGACTGGCACCCTGCTCCTCCGCCCTGGGCTCCCGCCCAGCTCTGCTGATGCCCCCCAGCCCGGCCAGAGGGGGCTGCTGGGCTTTCCTGGGCAAAGGCTGCCACTGCAGCCTTTGGAAGCAGCTGGGGAGTTTGGAAGCAGCTGGGGAGGGATCCCAGGCATATAAACATCAGCTGGACCCAACCCACCCATGCCACTCGCTCCACCTCTGGCCTTGGCAGGATCTGCACTCGGGTCCTCAGCTTTCTAGCCAGGTGAGGCGGGACGCAATCGTCAGCTCCCTCCCAGGAAGTACCATGGTGAACCAAACCGGTCGTGCTCAGGGTGCTGGACACACTTGGCACGATGCAGCGCTGTCCGACTGCGCTGCTCCATGGCTGCGTTGGGCTCAGCGGTGGGCTTGTCTGGAGAAGGAACCAGCCCGAACCGTCACCCCCACATGGCCGAGTTCAATCCCCTGCCTGGGGAAAGTCCCATGGGCCTTGATCCTCTGGGGGGCTCAGGCCCTTAACCGCTGTTGGTTCCAATCCATGGAGGACCCGGGCCTCAAGTCTCCCTCATTTCCCCTTCTGCACAATGGAGCAGAGCCCCGCCCTCGCGACAGGACGGAGGGGAGGGTAAACACAGTGCAGAACGGGAGCCTCTCAGACAGTGAGCAGGGACTTTGGTCAACTGTTCACCCCGCTTCCTCTGTGCTTCCAGGTGCAGCAGGCAACCAGGAGCCCAAATAGCAGCAACCAGCCAGGTGCCAGACTGCGGGAGGGAACCCGGCTCTGCGCCGGCGCGGCGGCTTAGCGCGGCAGCTGAGCGAAGCCTTCGGAAAGAATCGCTCGACGGGTTCCCTCTCTCGCAGCAACGTCGCTGTGAGCGGCTCAGCCCTCCCAGGCCAGAGAATTCACGGGGCCCCCGGGGGCTCTGCGGCTGCCAGCAAATGTTGCCAAAGGAGGGTCTGCGTGCGCTAAGGACGTTTCCTCGCCTGCGGAGCCGCGCTCTCGCTTCACCACCATTCCCACAATAGCTCCAGCCCCAGGGCGCTGTCCATGGGGCCGGGGTCCCCGGCGCTTTTCTCTGACATAGAAAGACAGAAAATCAAACGCCTGCGGCACGGGACAGCCCGGGGGCTTGGGAGGGGCGTGCAGCTTTCCACCCCTTTGCCCCAGTCCAGCGAGGGGCGACGCTTTCACCGTCTGCTGTGCGGTCAGTGGCCCGCGCAAGCCTGCTTGGGAGCATTGGCCTCGGGCTCGGTGCCCGGGCGTCCCCACGACAAGCAGCTGCCTTTGCTCTTGGCACTGACCGAGCCCTGGGCCGGCCCAGAGCGGAACGGGCCAAACGGCCTCTGGGCTGGTTCCTTCCAGGCCAAGGGGAGGGCACATGGGAGCAAGAGATCGACTCTCTGGCCAGACCGCCCCAGTCTCCAGGGCACCAGGACCTCCCCTAGATCGACATTCACGTTCAGCCGCCAGGACCACAGGAGAAGCCGCCCCCGGGGACCGGTAGATGCCCTCGGTCGGAGCAGAGCTCCCTGTCGCTTTGCACAGGCCACAGGGGTGCGCTCCTGAGCTGGCTTCTCCCCGTGTGCTGTGCCTTGCTGCCCGGCAGCCTGCCCCGCCCCATGCAGGAGCATTGCGCTGGGAGATGGGCCATGCGCGGAGTTTCCTTGGCTTGTGTCAGGCAGGCAGCGAAAGCTGGAGCGCTGATGCCGGGTCCTGTGCTGGGCGCCATCAGGGCTCCCCGGAATGGGCCGCACACTCGGTCTCGTCATTTGAGGACTGGGGCTTGGCATAGGCCTGGGCGCAACCGCGGAAGCTCTGCTCCAGGGGAGAGACCCGTGGGAGGGGGGACAATGTCAGCACCGAGAGCTCCAGTGGCCCCAGATGGCCTTGATCTGCGAACCCTGCCCGAGGTCTGCTCTACGCCCCCGCCAAGGGCCCTGGGCAAAGCTTCCCGGAAGGCCTGCCTCAGGAGGGACTGCCAGCCCCACAGCAGGTCGGCATCCTTCCCCAGGGAAGCAGCCCTGAGTTGTACACGTGCCCGAGAGCCTTCTCCATCTCCTGGGAGAATCCATCAGCCTTCCAGTGGGGCAGGGTTAAAGTCCTGTCCACACTGACCAGGTCCCTGGAGCGCATCTCCACTGGCTCGGCACTCTGCGGACCGCCACTGGGCTGAGACAAGCCTGACATGGCCACTAGCGTAAACCTGAAGGGGACTTTCAACAGGGCCAAGGGCCAGCACCAGCTGTGGCTCTATCACAATGTTTATATCAGTGCAGAGCCCAGAGTGGCTGGGCCGCCCGCCCG